GTTAGAAGAATATCTAGCTAGCCCGATTTTTTAAAACCAAATGCCTGCTAGATTTCATGCACTTGTCGCTTGTTAATGATGAGAAGCTGGTGGGATGTAAATTCGAACTGGGAGCCTCTAATTGAGAGATTTGATAGCAGCAGCAACTGTTTACGGTGTAAGTTTAAATCACTGGGCTCTTTTCATGAATCCAATCTTTTCCCATTGCAGAACCTTGAAGCTTAAAGTGGATAAAACAAAAATGGTGTCCGTATCAGGGGTTAAGAAAACCATCTTCGACCGTCTCCACGCCCAGTTAGAGAAGATTAGCCAACAAATCAACCGTATGATTTTCTTTGTGCTTTTTTTTTTTGTCTTGTTTTCGCTTCTTGCAACTTGTAAAAAAAAAAACCTCATCTCCACTTTTTTTGTAAGCCAAACTGGTAGGAACACACCACAGCTAATATTATAACCGTGACCCGACAAATGTGCGCGCGACAAATGCGCGCGCGACAAAAGCGCGCCGACAAAACCGTGGTGCTAAAACCACGACGTCATCAACACGACGTCATCAAAGCGGCGAAAACAGCACGATTTAAGTTAAGGTTAGGTTTAGGTTTATAGCGCGCTTCTATCAGCGTGCTGAGCCGGTGAGATTTGAACAGCCAAACTGCAGAACTGCAGTCAGCTGAAGTAGCCTGCAGTGCTGCATTTAACCACTGCGCCACCTCGGCTAATACCTGGATAGGTGGGCCAGTCCCTTTTTGTCATCCCAACCCACCTCCAAAGGTTGCGGTGGGGAAAATAGGTGGCAGGTATTAGCTATGCCCACCACCTTAAGTTGATAATGTTCTGGACTTCAGTGTCCTGTTTCCTACAAACCAGTTCCTTAGTTCAGTTTTATCTCTTGTGGCTTATTCAACTGAATGTAGCCATTGTTGTGCATTCAAATGTTGCCCCAACGTGACAATAGTTTCTTCTTCTTTTCAAGGAGAAGGTGATTCATTGTCAATGAAGCTTGAAGAACCTCAAAAATCCTTCCTGGAAGATCTTGCAAAGGAAGAAGGTAAGGGCAACCATGCTATAAGACAGTGGCCACCAACTGGTGATCCGCAAGAAAATTTTGGTGGTCCGGAGCAACATTATTTGCATTTTTTATATTGCACTAAATCAGGGGTTCTCAAACTACGGCCCCTGGGACAGATACGTGCAATGAAAGCTTGTGTTGCTGCAGAGAGTTTCCCCCTTTGGGGTCTTTTTGTGTGGGTTGGAGGGGAGGAGAAATTCCAACTTGGGGTCTGCTTTGGCCTCCTGGTGGGGGGCTTTGAGCAAAGGCTGGAGGGAAGCGCTGTTGGTGGCAAAGAGACGGAGGGCCTCGTTCCAGTGGGACTGCATCTTGGCCTGGAAGTGGCTAACCATCTCAGCCCGCTGAGCCTCCAGTCGCTGGCACCTGGTCTTGCACTCCCGCAGGTCTTCCCTCTGCTTGGAAAGCCTATGCTCGTAGTTCTCAGTGAGGTGCTTCTGTTGAGCCTCCTTCTCAGTCAGATCCAATTTGAACTGAGCTGTTTTGCCAACTCTTTCTCGTGGTGGCTGCTTAGCTCCCACAACTGTTTCCTGTTGGGGCCCTAAGGAAGCCCCGGGCAGGCAGTCAAGGAGTGGTGAGTAGAGGCTAGCAAGGCGCCCCTCAACTTGATTGACATTGAGTTGGCCACGCCCATTCAGTCACATGACCACCTTGCCACGCCCACCCAGCTAGTCATTAGGCAGATCATATTAGTGGTCCGCGGAATTTAAAATTATGAATTTAGTGGTCCCTGAGGTCCGAAAGATTGGTGACCCCTGCTATAAAATGAACTTGTTTATGGGCAGGTTCATCAGCTAGGAAATATCCTCATCCTGCTGCCCTCAAATAATTCCCAGCTTTCATAGCTGGAACACGGTATTCCATTCTAGTTTGAAATTCTGTAAACCGAACCCCAGAATTCTCATAACCACCAAGCTGGTTTAATGCCCAAGTTGTTCATCTGAATCGATTCCAAAAAGCATATTTAAATACCAGCTAGAAGTGCCACAAACAAATTCTTAACAAGCAAGAGGGCTCCACTAATTCTGACATCCTAAGAAAAACCTGATTCTTAGAACTGTGTGTTTGTGTTTGTTCCTACACACAGACAGACACACACACAAACACAAATATCTTATTTTTTTCCCCTGTTAGTTCTGGAAGCAAAAGTCTCCCGCAAGCGTCCCAAAAATGAAATTGAGCCCACAGAAGATTATGAAGAATGGAAACGACGAATCTTAGAAAATGCTGCAAAATCGCAAAGCAACAGTGTGTGAGTGGAGTTGTTCCTCCAGTGAGCGCAAATGTCAGGCTGGTCTGTTGGCCATTGTCTGGATAACTAGTCTGTTGGGAGAGGGAGGAAAGCCCTGCCTGAAAACTTGAATTCCTTGATAAGGCCACCTTGAGGCCTAGTTTAATCTGCTTTTAAATGTGTTCAGCTCATTTATAACTTCAGCAAAATGTGAGTCGTGTTTTGGGGTTGATACAACTATACTTCCGATAATTTCGTGATTTGGCTCTGATTTTGGGCAGCAAGATATTTCCATGTCAGTTATAGCACACGCTTAATGCAGCAGTAAAATAAAATCTAACACTTTTATAAGATGCATAAATTAAGAATATATGTTAATCTAAGATGCCTGCTTTTTATCTCCCTTTGTGTAATTAATGGGAATGACATAATCAACCATTAAGGTCCCATTAACTGTTTTTAAGATTGGTCCCTTTAATTATTTAATTTTGTAACCATAACCAGTGTTAATTCCTCTCTGGAAGCATCAATAAACTTTTATTTATGCAACGGTCTTCTTTGTGGTTTCATTCTATAAATCCAAATACCAGCTTCCGGATTATTAGAATAGAACGGCTATTACAGCTTTGTCGCCTCCATAAGGATATCCTAATCATAAGTGAGCGGAGCAGGCAATTGGTTAACCATTTAAGTATGACTGGCTGGGAGAATTCTGGGAGTTGAAGTCCACAACTTAAAATGGCCACGGTTGAGAAACACGGATTTAGATGGTGAAAGAAAAATGCAGCAAGATCTGAAACTCAAGTCAAGGATTCTGCCAGCATCAAACTGTCCAGTCGGATCCAAGCATTTCCAAATCAAGTTGCAAGAAAGCAGGGTTGACTTAGGAGTAAAGCCACACCTCGGAGGTGATTGGCCCCTCTCAAAAGAGGAGCGAATGGGGAGGGGGCTTTTGCAGGAAACAATTCGTATACATTCGGTTGGTTCAAGTGTGGAAAGTTCTGTTTGTGACTATAAGAGACTGCCAAGTTTTGCCTTGTCCTGTGTTTGGAAACTAATTATCTGGCAGCTCTCCAGACACAATAAGGTTCATATTGATAAATATTCCTCTGAAAGACTGTTAGCCAAACCTGGCTCACTGTGAATGAAAGCAATTCACAGTCGTGTAAATAAAAGGGGTTTTACCGGGACCAAGACTCTGCTTCATGCTTTTTACGGAAGCCTGGGTCAGAGCAACAACAAATCATTAAATCATTTTTATTTTTATCTCCCATTTCCCACAAAATCCCAAGCTGATATCCTGATGGTGTTCAAAATAGTGGCAAATAATTATGCAGCTCATCATTTAAAAAAAAAAAAAGTTTGGGAAAGTAAAGCCAAAGAGAAGCCATAAGTGAGTGTATAAAAGGTCACTAATTTTATTTACTTTTCACATTTCTGTACCGCCCATCTCCCTCCAAAGAGGGGCTCTAATCCCAATACAATGTCTTGGCAAATGTGCTTAAAGCTATTGATCACTACCCAAAGTTCTACTTTCAAAGCAAAAATACGGAATTCAGAAAATAACTATCACAACTCTTGCAGAAGCTACATTTTCTGCCTGAGGAAGTTCAACCTTCCACCCATTCTTGAAACCCTAACATTCTTAAAAATAAGACAATCAGTCCCCAGCAGAAAAAAACCATTCCTAACCACTAATGTGTAATTACGGAAATGAAAGTCTAAGAGGTATGATCCAAGCAGTTTTCTTCCTCTCCTCTTGCAAGTGATGAGTTGTAAGACTTACAACCCATTCAGTCAGACCTCCCCTTGGTGCAGGGAGGTCCGAAGGTATCTTCTTAGCCTTGAGGGTGGCAACCTAACCAGACGACTCGATGTACAACTGAGGAAGAGGAGGAAAGAAAACGTGAAACTGGTGGAAATCACCCAATCTCAGTTATCTTCAGCAGCTGGAGACTCCGTTAGGTTAGGGAATCTTCTCAACCTGTTGGCAGCTGTGACCACATGGAAGTGCTTCTGTAAAAGAAAGAAATGTGATGAAAAAACAAGATTCTTGCAAGTTTCCTACGGGCTTGGATTGTATCTTCACCAGAACATTCAACATTCGTACAGATTTTTGAGATTCTCCACCAGTATAGAATAGCATAGAATAGAATACAATACGATACGATACAATACAATACAATACAATACAATAC